CTATTAAAATGAATTTGTAAAAACTGCTGGAATTATAAACCAAATGATAAAACTCATGAGTTAAACTTAAAAGCCTATGAAAAACTGATGTTTAAATTCAAAATTTTAAAAATGGGACTATTAATTATTTAAATCAAGAGCATACCTCTGAACAGTCTTTTAACATATAAAAACCATGTTCAGGGATACTAAAAAGACTCACATCACTGGGCGTGGTAGTTTTTCTTAAGTGCCTATAAATTTTTTGACGCTTCTCTCATTGAGAGGTGGGGTTTGTATCCCCACCCCCTTGAATCTGGCCAGACTTATAACTGCATCAATCAACAGAGGATGACTGCATTGACGTCATGTGACTTCTAAGGCCAAGCCTTAAAAACCATGCAGGTTCACCTGTTCTTTTGGAATGCTCACCTTTGAAACACTCCATCTTAGGATACTCCTTCTCAGAACATAGCTGCCCTGCCTAGAGAGGTCTAGGCCATATGAAGATGCTCCTATAGATATTCCCAACTGAGTCTAGCCTTTCAGTCAGCCCAGCCTAGGTAGCACACATAGATGTTGTTATGGACTAAATGTTTGTGTCCCTTCAACATTCATATGTTGAAGCCCTATCTCTCAATGTGATGGTATTAGGAGGTGGGGCTTTGGGAGGTGATTAGCTTTAGATGAGATCATGAGGGTGGAGCCCCATAATGGGATTAGCATCCTCATAAGAAAAGGAAGAGAGACAAGAATATGCGCTCTCTCTCTCAGCAAAGAAGAGGTCATGTGAGCATACAGCAAGATGGTGGCCATCTCTAAGCCAGGAAGTAGGACCTCACCAAGAATAGAAATTGCCGGCATCTTAATCTTCAACTTCCCAGGCTCCAGTCAAAGCAGCCCAAGCTAAGACAGATGTGAAGGAGCCTCTGGATGATTCCAGCCCACTACCATTTCAGACACCCAAACCCTTACAGACTTCCCTGCCCAGGCCCCACACATCAGGGAGCAGAGATAAGCCATACTCTTGCTCTGTCAGAATTTCTGACTCATAAAATCCTAGAGCAGAATAAAATGGTGGTTGTTTTATGCCACTAAGTTTGGGGGTGGTTTGGTAGGAAGCAACAAATACCCAGAAAAGAACTTTAAGGATAAGTTCTCTGTACTGGTTCTAGATTACCTGGAATTTGTTTCCTGAGCTAATTAGATTTAAAGGCAGTAATGATCGTATTGCTAGTGGTTAAAAAAAAACAAAAACAAAGGCACCGGTAGTCCAGGGCATGCAGTGGCAAAACAGAAAGCAAGGCTTTGTGTGACCAAGTAGCTGCTGCCAGAAAACATTTTAGAGAAATAAAGAAGTACAGTCGGGTTGACTGGTTGTTTCTAAGTGCACTGGAGAACTTAAAAGAAATGATCTGCTCAGGTCCTTAAAATCTCACTGTAAGGTCCAGATAAGGGGCCAGAAAGCTTCTGTGACTTCCTTAAAAGAAATCCTTACCTTCTATCATCACAGGGCTGAAAATCCTAAAGATCAGACTCAAAATCTAATTCTGTGAGTGGCTGAATTACAGTGAAAATTGCCCAAACTTGTACCATCTCTTACGTTAAAGTTTGGGCAATGATTGGAAAAGAGTGGGTGGGGCCTTGAACATTGGAATAGAGATATATGGGCAGACTCCAATGAAACTGGGGACTTTAAACCCATAAATATTGCTGAGCCTTCCTTACCATTAGAATCAGCTCTTCCTCTGTCAGAGAAGGTTAGCCTCCCCTTGCCTAAAGAACTTGTGATGGCTTCCCCTGATGTAGACACCTTCCAGCACACTGCTGGCCTGGCCCTCCTGCTTCTTGCTGCTTCTCCATCTATAATCAGACTCAAGTCCTAGCTGCCGTAACCGCCTTCCATAGGTCCAGCTCCCACAGTTGCTTCAGGGCTAATCCCTATATTAAACCCCTTATTCTATATCACTCATAGCAGTTCTGCTTCTCTGATTCAAAGTTCATTTGATGAGACGGAAAAATAAACAAGAAGAAAAGGAAAATACACTCCTAGAAATAAGAGCGTAGCATGTCACAAAGTCAATGAGGAACTTCTTTTTTCACATGGGGTCACTTACGTTTTTTGGAGGAAGATAGTTTGGATCTGTGCTTTTGGCTATCGAGAGCCGTAATATCCGGGGAGAAGGATCAGCTATTTGAAGAGATGCTCTTGCTAAGTAATCACTGAAGGGCCTGTATGCACATGGAAACATGAACTGTCATCACTGTTGGATGAAGGAACAATAACTGGATTTTTCTTTGTTACAATCAACTTCCAATCAATTATATATACTGTTTCTATCTTAAAAA